GAATAACAGTGTGTGTGTGTGTGTGTGTGTGTGTGTATTGCAGCACATTTATATTTTTTCCTTTAGCTGATATTTTTATCTTAAGAAAGTTACAAGCAGGTGCCATTTACACTAATGTGTTTTCATTTTAAAATGCATTCATTTTGTTGTGGTTTCGCCTGGAGTCAATATTATTTCAGTGTCTTTGACCCATGAAAATGGAAAGTTTTCTTTTTTGTTTATAGTATAGACTGGGGTGCCCAAACTCGATTCTGGAGGGCTGGTGTCCTGCAAAGTTTAGCTCCAAACCCAACTAGACACATCTAAACTAATCAAGCTCTTACTTAGAAACTTCTAGACAGGAGTGTTTAAGCAAGTTGAACTAAAACTATGCAGGACACTGGCCATCCAGGACCAAGTGTGCAAACTTCTGAAAATGCTCTCACAATCGCTCTCTGACCCAACATGAAAAAAATATTATAGTACTAATAGTATTATAGTGTTTTCAAACCATGCTATAGTAAAATGTATTACATTGTACATAATATAATGTTCAATATTTACAAAAATTTGTTAATAAATGTCAGCGCGTACTGTGTATAACTGATCAACTGTAATACATACTGTAGCAATATATAGTTTTTACTGCAGTAAATAGGTGTATTGTTTTATCGTAGTCTACAACAGTTACACTGAAAAAAATTATTCAGAAATGATTCCTTAGATTTACTAAATTTTTTATGTTAAGTGGCTGTAAACTATTTATTTGGGCTGAATTTTAACAAACAAATAAGCAAAATTTATTCAATTTAATTTGTTTAAATTCAACACAAATAAATAGTTTGCAACAGTTTTGCAGACATCAATTTTTTTCAGTAGTATTTGTTTAAATGACTATAGTTGTATACTATAATTTATATTATTATAGTTGGTAATATGCTTGTATTACCACAATTACCACAACAAATTAGTTCAAGTTTGGTTCAAAATACTATAGTATTTATTGTAAATCTCTAAGCAGTTTTTTCATGTGGAACTTGTCTTCTATATTACTGCGTATCATTCTCTGATTCATCAAGCCCTTTTCATTTGACCATTACACGACTGGTAGACTCTAAAGCTTCATCCACACTATGGGAGACTCATAGCGGCAAAGCGACCATTCATTTCAACGGAGAGTGACTTCCAGAGATCTTCGTCTACGTGATCAACAGCAACCAGGAGGGCGTGTCGAGCAATGCAACAAAGTTGAGAGTCCTTCAACTTTATGCAAATGAACAGCGACCTTCTTGAGCAAAGGCCAATAGGAGCACAAGTAGAGCTCACGTGATCCTTTCTCAGTTCGCTCAGAGGCCTGTTGTATTCTTCTTGCTGTATGTAGATCTACACAGATCTGCGTCTGCGGCAGGTCACCCAAAGTGACAGGCAGCTACAAAGTCACTGCTAGTGTGAATGAGGCATAGGTACAGAAGGTGGCGTAATACGTGCATGCTCAGTGAGTGTGAATAGTCACATATCATGCATTTTAGGCTGTAGAGTATATACTGAGACTGTTTTTCTAAATGCGATAAAGAACCACTCTGAACGAGGAGAGTTAACGATCAAAAAGGCCATTATAAAATGAAAATGCACTTGTGTAAATGGCACCTCATACATTAAATAATATTATGAATAATAATAGTACTAACAATACTACTACTAGTAATATTAAATAAACAGAACAACCAAAAAACAAACTACTTGATTTAGATTAAAATAGAACATGAAATTGAAATATTGAAGGATCAAGCGTTGATGTGTGTGTGCCTGCGTGTGTGCCGGCTTGATATAAAAAATGAATTTTTGGAGAAAAACGGGATCTATTTTTTGTGACCTTTGATGATGGACATTATTACCTGGCTCTGGATACATGGGCAGCAGGCCGACTGTGACATTTACAAGAAAAACGTTTTAATGAGAAGGACGTCACTTTGCTCTTTTCGCCAGCAGAGCTCCTATAAAGTCGATTAAAGCCATCACCACACCTTCTTTTGCGGAGTGGATTTCGTTTTTCTTGGAGTCTCGTTTGGGTGTGTGATTGGACTCAGAATCAGTGGATGTCTCACTCCGTCTTTTTTCATTATCTTTCCACTCCTTCGATGCAAACAGCTCAATGTCTTCCACCCAATTTCAACATGTTTCCGTCCCTCGCTGACTCCCTAAACCTCGGTGGCTCTCTGTTGGTCTTCCTGCCGCGATATTAATAGCCTCTCTGCAGGACCGAATGCGTCTTCAGCCCGGAGTTCAGCCGGGGTTCATTGTCAGTTCATCTTTGACTGTGTTTTAATGAGTTTCTGAATCCGCCCACCCCCTCATGGCAGTCCGTCCTCGAACACTCACGCAAATTATCCGGGGGCCAGAGTTCCTGCCATCATAGCACTTCTTCGAGTGTGTGAATGACCTGCGAGAAGGTGTGTTTAAAATAACATTAACGAGCGGCGCGGACTCGGCAGCCGCCATCTCTGAACAAATAGAGCTTTAGCTTCAGCAGACATCATTATCGCTTTCCTTTTATACATACAGAGGGAGAGGGAGATTCATCCACGCATGCCTAAGTCAACACTACCTAATTCCATAGAAATGGTCGGAAAGGATTGCTTGACTCTGACCTCGCTGGCTATAATAAACCGTAGGCCTACTGATGCAGGGTGTGATTAAAACTGAAGACGGAATCATTAGCAAATGGCATTTAAATTATATTAGAGCTCAAATAACAGAACTGGGAAGTAGTCTTGAGGTTTAATTTAGCCAACAAAAGTAATGACAAAGGTTTATATTCCATTGTTGATAACGAAAAATAGACCTCAATTATGCATTGTATTGATGACGAATATATTTTAAATAAAAATATGCTTTCCGCTTTATACAAATAAACATTATTTTGGCATTTATACTTGCCCAATCTTTAAAAACAAAGATTTTAAAACATTTAACATGAGTGTAATCATTTCAATCAGAGATGCTGCCCAAACTAGGGCCTGCAGGCCAAAGTTGGCCCATGTTAACTTTTCATTTGGCCCGCCATCCAATCTGAGAAGATATAGAAGCAGGGGGATGGGTTTGAGATTGTCAATTCAAATTTAATGTAACACTTTGTTGGTTTGTTTTACTGTTAAAAGCTAACTGAAATGAAATGCTTCAATTAAATGGTGTACATTAATCAGATTTTACCAAAATGTGCATAATGTCACCATAGAGGACAATGCAAAGATTTGGCGAGAAAATCAAAGCAAAGGCAGATTCTCCTTGACTAGTGGAATCAGCACTAAAACCTAATGTGTTATCAAAGTGATTGTTTATGGTTTTATTGCAATAAGTTATCATTTAAAAAGTTATTATGCATTACTAATGTGATTTAAAGTAATGCTTTCTATTTCTTTTAAAATATTAGGAAATAAAGCCTAAGGAAGTTACTCATGGCAACTTTAACGGAATATACACTTTAAAAAATTCAACTTACAAATTATTAACTTTTAAAATGTTTAAAATTGTAAATAAAGTGACCATATTTTTGAGCTCAGAGTTAAATTTACTTATGAAAAAGATTCAAATGCATGTTTGGAAGTGCTTGTTCAATTAAGGTAAAAAAAATCAAATAATGACTATAATCAGCAATTTATTCAGTTAGGTAACATGAGACATTAAAATACTCACTAAATTTAAAAGTATAAATCACTTAAAATAAATAAGATAATTCTCATCCTTGATGTTTTAGAAAACAATGGTTACTATTAAATTGAGAGAAAAAAAAAACATATACAGGCAAAACAAAAATAAATGAAAAAAAAATTATTTAACAGGAATCTTGATTTGCACAATGTTTTCACAGGAACAAGAAATGTTTTTAAGAAAGTGTCTGGTGCATATGGAGAGGAAATAGTGCATCTCCTTAAGCTCTTTGTTAGTTTTGTTTTGCCTGGATATATATATTTTTTTCTCCCGGTGACCATTGGCTTGCATTTTATGACTCACGATGGATAAACAAGAATAATAATCTGAAAAAAGCCACTTAGACTTTGGATGTCCTAAAGGTAAGTAAATTAGCAGCTAAATTTCATTAGCACTAACCCTCTAAAAGATCATTTTGAAAGACTAAACCATGACCTTTAATCACTCGGGTCTTCATTGATTTAAAAAAAAAAAAAAAAAAAAAAAAAAAGATGAGAAGCTATTATTGCCTAGACCAGAAAAAAACTAAATTATATAATTTTAATTTAATCCTCTTATATAAAACCCGCCATCAAATGTGAAAAACCGGTCCTCTCTGCATCATCGCATTACCTCTCAACAACAGGGATATTGAAATAGAGGGATGTGTTGAGGGTGTGGGGAGGGAGATATAAGGTACATAGTGACTAAAGCGCAGCACCTCTCCTGTCTGCGGGGTCGTTTGATTGCAAGAGTGTGCGACGGCTCTTGACCGAGTAGCTGAACAGATTGCATGCTGGAAATTTCTATCAGGCAGCGTCTGCCCGCGGGTCTGTAGTCACTGCTTATTTATCGACTGCTGGTGCTTCTCATTACAGGCTGAGTGGATGATCATAGCGGCAGGCGCAGGATTTATGATCATTTTGCCGGATTCTTGCAAAAACTTCAGCCGAGAGTGGATGAAAACCCCACAAAGTACCTTTAGACTTAAATGCATTAAAACAACAAAGACGACTGCAAACAATTGGGTCATTTTGTTTGTCTTGAAGAAACAACAGGGAAGGTCGAACGCGATGAAAAGCGACTAGCAGATTGCCAGACTCAAAGCATGTTTTTTTTTTATACCAAGAAAGAGAATTTGTTCGGATCTCCAAGTTGTTGTGGTTGAGTGTGCTCTTGACTTTGATTCTGTGAGACTGTGTTTGTTTTGTGTTTTGTGCAGCTGTGGGCTCATGCAGCAGAATCCAATAGAGCGCTAGAAAAAGTTTAAACTCGGGATAAAGGGAAGCTGGAAGACGGAAATCGGGCCCACGGGCCTCTCCCCACCCCCTTACCCTCCATCTCCACACTGCCGGGCTCCAAGTCAGGAGACCCCTGCCCTCCCCGCCTCCCCTCCTCGGGGTGGGTACCTGTCTCAGGGGCACCAGCTGGCCCCTGATTGGTTGTGCTGGCACTTGTGGGTGAGGTCTTTCCTGTGGTTGTATTGGAAGGGGGGTAACAAAGTTACTAAACAAAAGTATCCATAATATGCATTTGAAATCAGGAAAACATCCATTGAAAAGTGTTAGTTCACCATATTCCCATTTCTGTAGGATATCGTTAAGGGATAGTTCAGCCAAAAATTAACACTTTGTTATACTTAAGTATACTGAAGTATACTTCAGTCAACATCATTTCAAAGTTATAAGTCAAAGCTTATTTGGAATTACTTTTAATAGTTGAAATGTTTTGAAAAAATTGGCTTCGGCTTGTAAACACATTCAAGCTATCATTGATCAATGGTACAGGGAGTGTGACTGAAGTTCATCCTTAGAAATCTAATTTCTTGTTTTCAGTACTAGCTTAGACATTCATGAGCTTTTAAAACTGCCTGCTCTACCAAACGGTGGACCATATTTTGACTGTTTTAAATAATGAAAGAATGACTGTGTTAAATAATGGTTTGCACACACAACATTGTTGGTTTACAAAGAATCTGAAATATTAAATAGCATACTTAGAAAAAAAGATGATTTAGTAATAAAAAATGTTTTATTTTGATCATGTTTTAAATAAGTTGGTCTTACACTTCAGATTTTCAGATTTTTCCTAGTATATGTGTTCATTTCAGTACCTTTACTGTAAACCAACATATCAACTTCTACACTCTCAGAAATACACATATGGGAGCTGTCACCAGGTCAGTAGCCTTTTTATAGATACATATTTGTATCCAAAGAGTCCACAGTGGTACCTCAAAGGTGCATATTAGTGCCCAAATGTACCAAAAAAGTGCCTTAGAGGTACCATTATGGACCCTTCAGGTACAAATTTGAAGAGGTACTGCCCCAGTGACAGCTCCTGTACCTTTGTTTCTGAGAGTTTACCAAATAGTTGATAATCTAGAAATTATGAGATGGGGAATTTAAAAAAAAAATGCATCGAGTTTGTTAAATAGTGACATTAGGAGTTAAGAACTTCAATCCAATTTTTTGTTTGTTAGTGGGGCAGCTAAAGGATTAAGATAACGTAACTTAGTAAACTACAGATATAAGTATACTCCAAGCAAAGCGTTTAATAGCTACTGTATGTACTGGAGGAAAATGGAAAGGCCATCTATTGTAAAGTGGATCAATAATATGTCCTTTTGTTTAGCTATGGAAAAGATTTCATACACGTTAAAAGGCAAACTTTGAGAAAATGCGGACACCCTTTATATATCTTATTTCAAATTCAAATTTCAGCATTTACTAAATGAAACAGGAAAAGATTAAATAAACTGACATTGACTTAGCCTATTTACAAAGATTTGTTTAAACAAGTCATTGTCATATTGATGATTTAGTACATGCCTTCCATAGTTTTAAAAAATTTCTTTCTCATGTTTTCTCTAAAATAATCTGTTACTAATTTAAACAACCTGTGCCCCCCCTTTCCCCCTTTTTATTTCCCTTTGTAATTATTATTATTTTATTTATTTTTGCTTTTGTACTTAATTCCCGTTATTTTTGTCTTTTCCCCTAAATTAAAAACAAAGATGTAAATATGATTGTGATGTTATTTTTATTACATCTCAATAAAACGATTGTTAAAAAAACTTAATAAACTACAACGTACAACATTTCCACTTGGTGTTAAAGTCAGTTATAAAAGTTATAAAGTTTTAATAAAATAAAGATGAAAAAAACATATCTTTATGCAGTCATTTTAGCTGTGTGGCATGTAGTTGTACTTTAAACTTGTTATAACCTCTTTAACAATGAAGATAACTCAGCTTTTAGCATATTGGGGCTTTGAGGATTAGTAAACGATAAAAGAATAATCTTTTTCTGACTGAACTATCCCTTTAAAAAAGCTTAGTTAAAGATTTGAGAAGTTCTAAAGTTGATGTGAAGGGTTCTATAGGAATCACAGTACAAATCACGTAAAACTAGAAAAAACAAAACACCTTCTTGCAGCAAAATCAATAGTACATTTTCTTTGTTTTGTTGTGCCACCGCATGCATTTCGAGCCCCAGAGCATTGCAGAATCGAAACTTGGACTTGAAGACACTTGATCCGAACTGAGCTAATCTCACAGAAGCCTCTTTTTGAAAAGTTTCCCCTCCCTTTCTCCTTCGCCGTCCTTAAAACCCCTGATCCTAAGCACAACTTGCGGACCACATACTTTGAGGACATCCTCATAAGGCTGAATCAGAGATTTAGTGAATTTAAGTACAGATGACCTTGTGGAGTTGTCTCTGTGTCCTTGTGTGTTCGGGCTGCTGTGAAGAGCTCCATCACTGAACTAATGCTTAATGTAGCGGCACACAGTGCTCATCATCAGCCAGACCAGAGCCCATCCTCCGCCTGCCCATCTCTAAATAAAGCCTGTCATCTTGCCATCTGTGCCACACAGTGCCCGCTCAACAGGGGAGCTCAGGGCTGGCGCACGGGACGCTTTTATTATCTTTCCGTTTCCATTCTATTTAAAGGGTGCCGGAAGAAAGGAGCTGTCGGAAAACAGCAGTGCATTGTGAAGATTTTCCTCGGCCTCTCACAATGGGATGGCTTTATCACGCAGTGGGAAGACGCCGAGAGTTCTGAGGGTGTAATAACTCCTCTTGAATGCAGGTAGAGCTCTAATTACCTTGCCAAGGTGCCGTGGGAGGCTTTGTCTCAGCGTGAGGTGAGAAGCTGCTCTGCTGTGTCATTTGCAGTGGCTGGAAGAGGAGCTCTGCTGCTGAATGAAGCCGTGGGGAAGCTCATTGAATTAGCTGCATCACACAGAGGAGCTCAGAGACTCGTCCAGCAGCCCACACTGACCAGTGCTACCATCAACAACCTTCACCTTTCACACTCTTACAGCCTCTACCTCTATCTCTGCTCCTTTTTACTTCCTTGCACTGTGTCCTAACAACACATGACACAAGATTCCAATATGGATGTCTGCACCAAACTTGGCGTGACCCAAATGAAACCTCTTTAGCATTATTAATAGTCTACTTAGTGAATGATGTTGGTCGGACTGAGTGAAAGGTCTTGAGTCTTTCTTTCCTTTATCAATTTATTCTTACTTCATTCAAAAATTCATTCTCCCTCCCTTCCTTAGATCATCCATTTTCCTTCTTTCCTTTCTCTGTTCATTCTTCTTTTATTATATTTATACTCTTTCTTTTATTAATTTTTTTATCCCCCTATCCCCCTTCCCTGCCGTATTCATCAATTATTAATTCTTCCTGCTTTGAATCGTATATTCATTCTTCTACCTTTCCTTCCTTAATCTTTCTCCTTTCCATTCTTTTCAACCCGATTTCCATGCAGCATTCCACCAATTCCTCTTTCCTTCATCCATTCATTCTTTTTCACATCATATTATCATTCATTTCTTCCTTCCTTCATCCAGTTCCCTCATTTCCTTTCTGTTTAATCTTCTTTTCGTCTTTTATCATTCATCTATCCGTCCATCCCTTCCTTCCTTCCATCCTCCTTTGCATGCTGAATTCCATTCATTATTTTTCCCTTCATCGTTTATCCTTCCATCCTTCATCTATTTTCCCTTGTATCCTCTCTCGCTTTATTCTATTTTCTTCTTATATGTTGTTCCTTTTTCCATTCACTCATCCTTCCTTCCTTCCTTCTTTCCTTCCTTCCCTCTTCCATTAATTCATCCATTCATTATTCCTTTCTTCCTTTCTTCCTTCCTTAATTCATCCATTTATTATTCCTTCCTTCCATCCTTCCTACATTAATTCATCCATTTATTATTCCTTCCTTCCTTCTTCCATTAATTCATCCATTCATTATTCCTTCCTTCCTTCCTTCCTTCCTTCCTTCCCATCCTCTTTTCCATACCATATTTAATTCAAGCTTCTGTCCTTCATCCATTAATTATTCTTTTCTTCATCTATATATCCTTAATTCTATTTCCTTTATCCTTATATTTATCCTTCTCGTCTTTCCCTTCTTTCCTCTCTCACTTTATTATTTTTTCTTCTTATATGTTGTTTCTTATTCCATTCACTCATCCATTCTTTCCTTCCATCCTTCCTTCCTTCCTTCCTTCCTTCCTTCTTCCATAAATGCATCCATTCTTTATTCATCCATTCCTTCCTTCCTTCCTTCCTTCCTTCCTTCCTTCCTTCCTTCCTTCCTTCCTTTTTCTTTTCCATGCCATATTTCATTCAAGCTTCTTTTCTTCATCCATTCATTCTTTCTTTTTTCCTTTATCCTTATATTTATCCTTCCTGTCTTTTCTTTCTCAGTTTATTCTTTTTTTTCTTACATTGTTCCTTCCTTGCTTCCTTCCTTCCTTTCTATGCCATATTATACTCAAGCTCCGTTCCTTCATCTATTCATTCGTTTTTTCTTCATCTATGTATCCTTCATTCTTAATCCTTCTCCTTTATCCTTATCCTTCCCTTCTTTTCTTTCTCAGTTTAATTTTTTCCTTTCTTTCTTTCTTTCTTTCTTTCTTTCTTTCTTTCTTTCTTTCTTTCTTTCTTTCTTTCTTTCTTTCTTTCTTTCTTCCTAAGCTGTATTAAACTCAAGCTTCTTTCCTTCATCCATTATTTTTTCCCTTCATCTATTTATCCTTGTCCTTCATCTGTTTGCCCTTCTTTCCTTCATCTGTTCATTCTTCTTTTCTTCCTATATTTCCTTCTTTCCTTCCCTCCCTTATTCATCCTTCCATCCCTCCTTCCATTCCCACCATATTCTACTAACAGACAGAAACAGACTTCAGCCATGCAGTCCCCAGGGAGTGATTCACCTCTCTCTAATTGGCTGATGGACAGATTGGATGCTGTCTTAAGAAAAAAATATATATTGTAGAACAATAATCGGCTCAGAAAACAGTAGAACTGATTCATTAGCTGGAGATTAGAACAGAACAAAGCAGGTGACTCGCAAATGGTATTATTTACCAAAACTCATCTCTGCTAATAACCTCATGTGACTAATCCAGATGGTAATACAAAGTTTAATGGGAAAATATACTGGATATTTCTCCATGATCCACAGAGGATGGAGACTTTTGATATGTGTGTGTGAAAGAGAGAGAGGGAGTGTATTGTGTGTGCCACAATAGCTGTACGCTCTGACCCGGATCACACTGCATCCACTGGCACGCTTTAGAAGCCAAACTAGACAACACCACCCAGGGATGTTAACACACACTTTCACACACAGAGGCCAGCTGTCAGATAGTATTAGCTCATGACTGTCTGAAATATAATACAGTCGGCAAAAAAATAAATAAATAAAACCCAAAGCCCTGCACATTTCTATTTCTCTCTTCAACACACCCTCCCTTTTCACACACTCCCTCTTCTCCTTCCAAAACACACACACATATGCTCTCATACGCATGCACCGCCTATCACAACATGTTTCTCTCTCTCTCTTTCTCCGTCACGCATCCAATCAGCCCAAAAATTAATTTGTCAGATGGTGATTCTGCGTTGTTCCTCTTGCTCAGAGCTCTCTGAAACGGCTCTGCGGGACATTTCTGTCTGCCGTCCAGATCTGCAAACTCACTGCAGGTCATTTGTGTAACGGACTCTATTGATCTGCGAAACTAACGCCTCTTTGAGAGCTGTTGTAAGAGTCGTTCGGAGGTCAGAACAGGACAGATTGAAGATTTATGTATGCGTGTGTGTGAAAGGCAAACTGTTGGATACATATAAAAAATCCAGACATGATGCAATATTCACACCAAGACACCAGGGACACAATGCGAACAAAAACTAATAGCAATCTGTGCCTATTGTCGAATGCAAGACCCAATTTGATGAAATATAATGGCTGGCCATAAAGTTTCTGATTTAAAATGGTTAATGGGTATGAACATGGCTGTGAAAACGGCTGGACAAAGTATAATCATTTACTGAAGCAATTTGAGTGAGTGAATATAAAGCTTATAAGACTGAATTAGTGCACTGACCGTATGCAGAGTCCACTGCAGGGTTCTGCTTTCGAGTCGTTGCCAAGACATCTATGGAAAGAATAAAGCGGAATGGGAGAGTACAATCAGGTTCATGAACTGTTTGTGCCAGGAGACCTGTTGATTTAAAGTTTTACTATATAATTGCCATAAATACCATAGTAATATGCATCTGCTTCAATTTTGATGCAAGTACTTAAGTTTTGCAATAGGACAGTTAATTTAACTTGTTACATTTTTTTTAATTACAGCACAAAATATACAAAACATAAGAATGTGACATATAATAGACAAGACGGCAGTTATTAGCATGGAAGCTCTGGTACAAATGCATTATTATTTAAATTGCACATGGACCATTATAAATAAAAATATAATTCCCACAAATAAATGTTCATCTCAAAGCGAAAAGAGAACAAAATATATACTATTTTTTAGAATAATTAAAAATAGGTCATTTTAAGACTATTGTTAGTGTCTTTCTGATATTTTATATTTAGCATTACAGAAATCTTACTATAAATAAGCTGTATTGCATTAATATGTAATAGATAATTAAAAATAGACAGGATGACAGATGGAATTTATTAATATGGTAGCTCAAGTACAAATGCATTAATATTTATATTGCACATTACTAATAAAAAATAATAATAAATGAATAAAAATGCAACACATAAATGTCCACCTCAGAGCACAAAAAAAAGATTTTATTTTCTATTATTATAGGGTATTACACAAAAATATTTTTGAATTATTAATTTATATTTTGTTCAAAAGTTTGTAAAATTTTTAAAATAAGGTTTCAGTGCAATATCTTTAATCCAAGACATAAACAATATTATTGTGAAATTACGGCTTTGATACGGCTTTCTATTTTATTTTAAGGTAAAGTTCTCTTTCTTTTTTTTTTTTGCGATGGCAAAGATGATTTTTTCAGTAGTAAACTGTTCAACAACAAATTCCCTAAAAACATTTAATCTAGCTTTCTTCATTTGAATAAAAAAATTAATTGAACTTATATTTTAATCAAATAAAAAATATCGGGTAACGTTACAAATGTCTACATCTCTTTTGATAAACTCATTATGAATATAGTATAATATAGTATAATATAATATAATATAATATAATATAATATAATATAATATAATATAATATAATTTCGTTAGTATGAATTAAAGTCTGATTTAGCATTTCTGTCAAACTTAGCATCTTTTGTTTAGCATTAGTGAGAAAGACAAGAGCTGCCAAATCTGTCACAAAAATAATGTCACAATGCCACTAAAAGATGTGATTTCGCATAGTCTCTCTCCTCGTCGAAGTGACTCGGACATGTTCTCGACATGTTCCACAAGATCTCCTCAGAAAGCTTGTGGAGTCTGAAAGTCTTGAGCGCTGAAGTGCAGTAGCAGCAGGAATGTGTAGAAACGTAATGATGGTGTGAAGGAGTTATGATCTCAGGCAGCAAGTCAGCTCGGCCCGTCTGAAACTCACCGTGACAGCTGTCTGGATACTGAGGATATCCACTCTCTACATACTGCTCGAATCCAGACCTGCGACAGAGACGGAGAGAGGAGAAGAGAAAGAGGACAAGAGAGTGACAATCATTCTTTTGTGAGCGTCTCCCTGAATGATCCCTCTAATTAGTTGTGCTGTCAGCAGTCTGTTGTTGCCTCTGCGAGCAACTGTAAAGGGAAATAACATGGTACAGTTTGATTGAAGCTCCAGTGTCTGACATGCAAGGACACTTCCTCTATTACATGACTGACAGACATGTTTTAATGGTAATAAGGTGAGAGATGATGTTTTTTGTTGGTACACACTTATAGGTAGTAAATACAAAATGAGCAGTCCAGTTATTTGAAAACAGGGGCATTTTACATACCCCTAAAGTTTTACTACTTTAAATTTCATTTAGCTGACCTCTGGTGGAAGAACTTTTAGCTTAGCTAAGCATAGATCATTGAAATGGATTAGACCATTACCATCTCGTTCAAAAATGACTAAAGTGTTTTTGATAATTTTCCTATTTAAAGCTTAACTAGAAACCCATTTAGCTGATCTCCTTGTCTGGCAGGAACGCTTTTAGCTTAGCTTAGCATAGGTCATTGAATTAGATTAGACCATTAGCATCTCGTTCAAAAATGACTGAAGTGTTTTTGATAATTTTCCTATTTAAAGCTTAACTAGAAACCCATTTAGCTGATCTCCTTGTCTGGCAGGAACGCTTTTAACTTAGCTTAGCATAGATCATTGAATTAGATTAGACCATTAGCATTTCGTTCAAAAATGACTAAAGTGTTTTTGATAATTTTCTTATTTAAAGCTTAACTAGAAACCCATTTAGCTGATCTCATTGTCTGGCAGGAACACTTTTAGCTTAGCTTAGCATAGATCATTGAATTAGATTAGACCATTAGCATCTTGTTCGAAAATGACTGAAGTGTTTTTGATCATTTTCCTTTTTTATGCTCGACTAGTAACCCATTTATCCAATCTCTGTGTCTGGCACACTGTCGGAAATAAAGGTACACGAGCTGTCACTGGGGTGGTACCATTTCAAAAGGTACACATTTGTAATTTTAGGGTCCATATTGGTACCTTAAAAGAATATATTAGTACCTAAAATTTTTGGAGGAACAGTTTTGTATTTTTGGGGTATTAATATATGTACCCTTGAGGTATTAATATGAACCATTTAGGTACAAATTGATACCTTTCGAAAAGATACCACTTCAGTGACAGCTCGCATTGCAGTACTGAATATTACCACCAAATAATATACTGTTTCCATTGGTGACCATGAAAGGCCCTCCTAAGTCTGTGTATGACTTGAATAATAAGAACCATTTTTTTTTATTGTGATTTATTTTTTATAATTGTGGCAATATTTGAATAGTATATCACATTCTCATGCATGCTTTGAGCAGTTTAGTGGTATTTAATTTATCTTTAATTTATTTAATCTTTAGTTTGTTTTCTTTACATTCAAATTTAAAACATGTTCAGATCATTGTCCTCTGCAATGGGAAATTGATGGCGGAAATACAACGACGATGCATGTCGGCGTACTTATTGGTGATGGCATGCTACTACACTATTTAATTTGATAACAAAATACTACAATTGCATTTGCAGAGAGAAGAATTGTGTACAATGGTTCCTTTTTTAACATTCTTGTCACTGTGTGTCTATTCTTACTCTTCTTTGGGATTCGTTTTCATCAGTTATTTTCCCTGCCAATCATCATTAAATTAGTTATGAAAATTACTTGTGAAATAACAAAAGGGATTGAAGTCATTATATTTTGAGCATTTCGATGATATCAAATATACTTTTTTGTTTGCATGTTTTTGGTGTACACAACTGTCTCCTGCCATTTGCTATTCTAAATGATGCTATTCTGACAGTATTTTTTTCAAGGCGTTGTTAGATGTCAGTGTTTCCTGTCACAGCTTTGAAAACAGTTGATTTCAAAAACAGCATCACATCTATTGAACTATTTCTTTCTACGATATTAAATCAGTATTTAACCTTAGATCAATCTCAAAGCAAAAAGAAGTCCTAGCGTATGCATTAGTGGTGGCTGTGCTTTAAAAATCAAATCATTATAATCAAGTGATGAAGGATTTTCAAAATCAGTGTTGATTACTACTGTAAGGCTGAGCTTGTCTGATTGAAATGTTTAAAATCAACAGTTAAAAAGCATTTGTTAAAAAATTAGGATGTTAATCAAAACGTAATCAATTGCATTATCATAATAAAGTGACTGACTTACTGACTTTTAAATAGGGCAACTTGTAATCTGCAGTAACCTTCCTAATATCGTAGTATAACACTTGTTACATTTTTAATAACTGTAAGGCATATTTTGAGCAGTTTGGCTGGTTATTTCAAAGAGCAGTAAAAATGTAAACGAATCACACTTGTTTTGAAGACTCACATTAGTAAATGAAGCTTTCCTGAAATCTTCCCTTTCCATCTATTAACACATCTCTTGCTTAAAAATGCTTACAGTCAGGGCTTGACATTAACTTTTTTGATCATCAGCCACAGTGGCTAGTAGTTTTCCAACGTTACTTGCCACAATTTTGTTGTTGGAAAAATATTTTTTATGTGCGTATATATGACTTTGACATGCAAACATTACTTGATTTAAATGTTGTGTTTTGTCCACATGCCCCCTCATACATTTCACATTTTGTGCGTCGTGTATGAGCAGATGGGTCATGGTTTCATAGCATTGTATTACAATTAGTTTTTATTTCACATGACTTTTCAGAGCTTAACAATTAGGGATTTACCAAATTTATCTCTGACCACACCAAACAATAATTATTTCTTAGCCACAAATTTTAAATGTGTCAAAACAAGCTAAATATACCTGTATAATAATTTTTATTTAACAAAACATTTCTTTAAAAAAAAACAACAAAAAAAAAAACTAAGAAAAACAATTGACTTTTAAAAATAATTATTGTCTTGCATCAAAAATATGCACAGTAATCTGTCCTTGCTAAAGGTCTCTCAGATCACCAGTTAACTACACATAAATGAGAGTTAATCTCATATTAAAGCAATGTTGTTGTAAAAAAGATTTATAATATTTAATTTATATGATTTATATTATATAAAAAAAATGACCACATAAACAAAAATAACCGTAAGCAAAAGAAAGCAGGTGAAAAACATACTGTGTGATAATGGAAGGATGATCACACGGTTAAGGCCAACTAATAATCTGTTCAAAGCGAAAGCAACCGGTGCTGCTTACAAAAAGACAGATTTGGAGCTCTTGAAAGCAGCAAGACTGTGGGTGCATTAGCATAACTTTTTGTCAAGTCTGTTTAAGAGAACCAATCACAGTTGTGTTCCAGACACGGTTGCTGCAAGCAAGGAAACAGGAGCGTGCACACGCTTTAAACAGTCGAGCCCATCACATCAGCTGTTTGCGCGACTGATCATCCTCTCATTTGGTATTCACCTGCTTTCTATTGCTCACGCAAACGCAATTATTTTTTATCGGTTGTGCTGTTTCTCGGTTTTAAGATCACATTTGCATATTGGGTGCATCCCTGCACTCGAACCCTGCTTTTAAGAAAACTACAATTTAAGAATATTTTTTGACTAGCCAAAGTGGCTAGTGGGATTGACTGTCTAACCCGCCAAAGCTGAAATCTACCCGCATTTGGCGGGTGTAATATTAAGCCCTGCTTACAGAACACAATCCAACAGATTGTTGTGTCTGTCATAGAAAATCAATATGAGCTGTCATGAATAATTAACTTAAGTGTCTTCTCAATAATAGTGTCATGCAGCATTATATAAATACTTATAAGATATTGACATGTGATTGATTACTTTGGTCATTTGCCAGGTCAAAATTTGTGATGTTGACTCCGTAGTTTTTTTTTAATACTGAAAAGCAAATACATTGCAAGAAAACTCCCTTACAATTAAAATTCATGGATGCTTGCTCCAGCAACATAAACACCTCTGATGAAATATCTGAAAAAAGTCATTTAGAGTTTCCTTTAAAAACCAAAACTTGCAGAAGCTGACATGCATAATTCAAATCAAAGCATCTTCTTAGAATATACGTTGTGATGACTTCAAACTGTTTTTCCTGCAATGGAAGATTAATCATCGCATGTTTATCTAAGTACTTTTTTATGGCTCCAGAACTGCATTTGGTGACTCATAGATGGAATATTCCTAACATTAAGCCATCAAAAATGAAGATGCAATCACAACCTGTCTTTGTTTCCAAGAGAAATGGAGACTGACTCATTCTCAATTAGATGCTGTAGTTGTCTTCCCACAAATATACACTCTAAAAAATGTCAGGTTATTTCAACACAATTTTGGGTGTAATAGCCACTAACCCAACGGCTGGGATAATTGGTTTAATTAATAGCACTAAATCTAACCCAATGTTTGGGTTAGTCTATATTTTACCCAATTTGGTTTTAAATAACCCAGCATTAGAGTGTATATTTAAAATAATGTGAATACATTCAAGCAAATTTAAGTGAAGTTTATTTATAAACTAATTTCGAGTGGATCACGTGCTTATGATTGCTTGCAGCTGGCCCCGCATTATTTAATTTATGATTCACCGATCAGATGATTCCTAAGCCACTACAAATACCCTAAGTTCCATATGACAGCCATCTTCGTTTTGAAGAATCCCCCTTCCACCCCTACTCCTCCTCATTTCCTAGATGGGTGGCACGGTGGTCCAGTGGTTAGCACTGTTGCCTCACAGCAAGAATGTCACTGGTTCTAGTCCTTACCAAGCCAGCCGACGTTTCTGTGCGGAGTTTACTTGTTCTCTCCGTGCTCACATGGGTTTCCCCCGGGTTCCCCGGTTTCCTCCCACCATCCAAAAACATGCAACTTACGATAATTGACTAATCCAAATCGGCACCATAGACATGCTCCTAGTAAGTAGTTATCTCTTAAGAGCAATCACTATCTGTTCATTAGCTACTACAGCAGGGGAGTTCTCGAGATCTACCTGAGATCAAACTCCCCTCTCGCATCGCAAACG